CTCATTTATAACCGTTGCGTACGCACAAAAACAGCCCTGAAAGAGGCGTACGCTACTTCCTGCGCAAAATTTGGGATTTATAAAAACAAACTTCACGGGAAAATTTGTGCACCTGCACGCAAACTCTGACCCATGCGTACGAACTCTTTTTCCTTGAGTGAGAAAATTAATGAAGTAAAAACAATGATTTTAAGCTCTGTTTTCATGTCGATATATACATGTACATTAAATATTCCACTCTCATATGGAGATAAGGACAAAAATTACATAATGTCATTATGCAGAACTTAAACCAAAATGATATGAATTTGGACATATTTGTAGTAAATGCGCTTGATCACTTTTCCTCTTTTATTGACAGTGAGGAGTGCTATAGGTGCACAATAATTCATTTTTAAACTGAAGTGCAGATCTCATGTTATGAGAAAATATTTTTTAGCGAGAACAGTGATCAATGATGTGCACTTACTTCGATATTATGGCAGACACTTCTGGATTCAGTGGTCGAACGGTCCATTATCCAGTTTGAATAGGTCCAATGATAATATCTTACTGTACAACCACAGCTGCACAGAGGTGTTGATGTCGTGTGAAGTCATCTCTACAACATTATGAAAAGTACCGCTGTATTTGAAGGCTACAACTTTAAGAAAAAGGTAAGATTTATACATTTCCTTTTTAAAATCCTTTGTTAGTGACACGCCGAGTCAGACAATTTTACACTGCAATAAATAGGCCTATCTGTTTCCACTTAAAATAGCTAAAAGATATTCACCTTATCAGCAAAACGGCATAAATTTAGTTTGATTTTAATTGATAAAAACAATTGAAATAGGCTACTATTTGGCCAGTGTTAAAGAATGAGATCAACTCTATTCTAAAATATTTATCTGATAACTATTTTAAACAGTTTTTGTTTTTATTTTTGTTTTTATCTTGATATATTTATTCTAAAACATAACAAGGATATTGGATGATTTTTAGAAATAAAAATTAATGTATGGCACAAATGGCATTTATACTCCATATCTCATATTTCCTTAATGTCTTTTATCTTTGGCGGTGTTAAACATGGTGTCACGTGGATGGGAATGTGCATGGAAATGATATGCAGATGAGGTTATGCATAGTAAAACAAGCCGTTGTAAGCTCCATATATGGTGATTTCAGGGAGGAGACGGGATGGAGCTGCACGTACGCACAATCTTCCCCTGACTGGGATTTATCCATTTACCATTTTATTCATTTAAATGGGGAGTCATCTCGATTATCACCAGTAAAATATGGAGTGCCACAAGTTTTTCGCATTTGGCTCTCAAACTCTGGAATGGCCTTCCTGATAACGTTCGGGGTTCAGACACTCTCTCTGTTTAAATCTAGATTAAAGACACATCTTTATGCATCTCATAATCTTGTACTGCAGTTACATCTGATCAAATGCCCATTATTATTCTTTAGTTTGGGTTAAACAAATCATTTTTGCTTGGTTGGAACAGCAGCTACGCTAATTATGTCTCTATTTGTTTCTCTGTATTTGCCACGGGATTTGAAATCCACAAGCTTCAGTCTGGATCCAGAACACCTGAGAAGAGATGATGCCAACCATGAAACAACATACAGAACTACCACATTTTGCTATAAGTTTGATTGCATCATATAATAATTGCTGTTAATAGTGTTCATCGTCTGTTTTATTACGTCTTAAATTGATTTTTCCGTACATGTCTGCCATATGTACATTAACTGACAGTCACCACTGATAAGCTACCACTAAATATTGTAGAAACTTAATTTGCTGTAAAGTTGCTTTGCAATGATTTGTATCGTGAAAAGTGCTGTACAAATAAACTTGACTTGATTTATAAAGGGATTTTGCGCAGGTTCTGGCATACGCATGGTTTTATAAATCTGAAAACTTTTGTGCGTACGCAAAATCTAGCTTTTGAGCATACGTACACTTTTAGGATGAAATCTACGGCGAGTTTTATAAATGAGTCTCCAGGACTTCCGTGCTGGTTAGATCGGGACTTCGGAGCGGGTTTGCGAATCATTTTGCGAATTAAAGTCTCGATCTGAAATTATGTGTCGCGAATCATTATTCAGATCGGGACTACAGTGCGGGTTCACGATCATTATTATATTGCAAGACTACAAATGAAGAAAATTAATTTCCAGCCTTACAGTAGCCTACATTTAGTCTAAATGCAAATGTGGATGGAATAGCCTACTAGAGATTAAAACCTACTAAATTTATAATTATTTAAAAATAAAAATTTTTTTAAAAAAGTGTCATGGCATAGACAATAAATAACGTTTTTCTTCAAATGTGAAATGTGAATGTATTTTCTTGGATTGAAAATATATGGAAGGCAACATACATTTTAAATGCTTTTAAAAATTATTTAAAAAAAAAAGAAAATTATATATATTTAAAAATATACCAAAAATGGCCAAAACAGAAAATATATCTTGAAACATCATTTGAAATATTTGAAAATATATTTGAATAATTTTTTTTTCACATGGCTGCAAAAGCATGGCACATTCAAATTACAAATGACCGCACCGCTCTCTTATGTTAAAAATCTTTGAACGTCAACAAACCAAAAACCTCTCTTTCACACACAAACACACACAATGGTGGGTTCATCGCAGGCGGGCAGACAGGTGCTGAGACGACAGGAAACAAAAATAACCTGGCATGGCCTGCGCAAACTCACACACTCATATATAAAACTGAGCTGGATTATTTTGGTATTCAGCTGCTTAAGCAAAACTGAATAAGCAGGTCATATCTAAATGTGTGCAAAAGTGTTTGAAACCCCACCTTCCTCAGGTCAGCAAGATATAACAACAGCTCTCAGCATTTACACACACACACACACACAGCTCACCATCATCCTGAGCTGTACTTTACAAAGAGGCATTCTGTTGTACTGATAAACTTCTCAGCATTTACCTTTCTTGCACACACATCTGTAATTCTCTGTCGCAGCACTTTAGCTGAGCTGAGCTCCTGGAGGAAAAACTCCATCCAAATGTTTCTCCTACAGCGTCAGTGCTTTTAATACAGTAGTAAAAGAGCATTTCGCTGACAGCATGTGGGTTATGATCCCTGACAGTGCTCTCTAACTACACAAGTTGCTGGAGAAGCAGTAATATTACAATATATTTCGATTCAGTAAAAATTAAACACCGCGATTGCTCATATATAGCCAACTTTTCAAAGAAATAGCATGTGAAACAGGAGGTTAAATGCTTCAAATGGTTGCATGCAACATTGATGCCATGAATTTGCCTTTTTTAACCAAAAAAAAAATGCAGGTCATTTTGGAGATGCGAAACAGAATAAAGTCTTCCTCACACTTTTGCTTTGCACTACAGCTTTATTTACCAAACACAAGTTTCAATGCAATGCAACACCGATCCAGAGCAGATATGTTATTTTGCTGAGGTGTCCATAAGCCCGCTGGCATGTTAGAGATATTTATCAAGCATAAGAATAACATGTACACACAATTCTCGTGGACATTAGCCTAATCACAACAGTTAAAATAAATCAATGTTCTGTTTAGTTCTGATATGTCCTGAATTAGATATAAAGAGGAACGCATGGTGGGGCTATAAAATGGTCTTTAGGATCCCCTTAATCGGAATAAAAACACCCCACTGGTTTATTTTCTGTGATAAGGCATTACATTTGGTCCCTGTAGAGCTTGAAAATTCACATTTGGTCTGATTTGATCCGTCCCTCCTCCCAATAACATGCAAAGATATGCATGTGTCAATAATTATATGAGTGCACATCACATGATTGGCTAAGGCTGATTAGTCTAACTAGGAGAAGTAGGCGGGGTTAGTTACAGCAGTATGTACAGTTACAAAGCACATCACATAATGATCAAAATACTCAAATTATTACAAAAACAAATTATTCAATGCACCTATCAAGTTTAGCAGCATATATATATATAAAAACACAAACAAATAAAGTTTCTGTTCAGAATTTTTTTCGAGGGGTGAATCTCACGAAAGCAATTTAAAAGCCTATTTTAAGAGCGAGATTTTTCATGACAAGCATTTTTTACCTTGCAATTCTCATTAATGCAACGCAAAAAAGATATTTTATTTAAACTGCAATATTAATTGATGTACGATGTACCTTTAATTTAGGCTTATTTAGGGTTAAAATGTGTTTAAATGTCATGAAAATAGTGTCACAATGAAAGCGTCTTAATAGTTCTAAAATAGGCTTTATTTTTTAATGCAACATAATTACTCATAGAATTTTAGGGGGGTAAGTGATACATGGAAACGTTTCCATGAGATTCACCTCAAGAGACTGTGTGTTAAAATGAAACAAACATCCATCGTCACAGGGAGTGTGTTTGTGTGTATTTTTGGAGTCCTAATGTGCAGTTTGTGAGAATAAAGTTCTTCTGTAAGTGTGTTTGTGAAACGACGATGTCTAAAATACAGTATCATGTTACAGTGTACTTACAAGTAAAGCATATAAACACATTTTGTCTAATTGCACTTCTGAGTGGAGTTATGGATTTCCTGTTTTCCACGTGAGCCATGCACAAACCGTCCTCCCCCCCACATCCTTCCATAAATCTCCTGCTCTCGCTCTATCCTTCCCCTAAAAGCTGGGCATTCATAATGGGGAGGAACAGAAATGTGAACACAACTTCAAACTGGCAGCAGTGAAATAAGATCATGTCCATTTTTAACATAATATTCAGAGCCTGAAGCGTTTAACATCTCCAGCGCTGTGCAAAACACATGGCTTCCTGCTTCTGGGACTCTTAAAAACAGAAAAAAAATCAAGAAAAAAAGTCAGTGCCAATCAGATCAGACAGCGTGGCTTCAGAAGAATTTGTCATCAATGCGAAAGTGAGCTCATCCCCAGTAAGCACCCAGTCAGATCAAGGGGGCGTGGCTTCAGAAAAAAATGATCAATGCAAAAATGAGGTTGCATGAGGTTGCAAAAAATGTGAGGTCATCTGTAGGCAGCACCCAATCAGATCAGTGGGCGTGGTTTCAGAATAATTTGTCATCAATGGAAATGTGAGGTCATCTGCAGCCAGCGCCCAATCAGAGCAGAGGGGGTGGCTTCATAATAATTTGTCATCAATGAAACTGCGAGATAATCTGAAGCCAGTGCCCAATCAGAGCAGAGGGCGTGGCTTCAGAATTATTTGTCATCAATGGAAATGTGAGGTCATCTGCAGCCAGCGCCCAATCAGAGCAGAGGGCGTGGCTTCATAATAATTTGTCATCAATGAAACTGCGAGATAATCTGAAGCCAGTGCCCAATCAGAGCAGAGGGCGTGGCTTCAGAATTATTTGTCATCAATGAAAATGCGAGATCATCTGAAGCCAGCGCCCAATCAGAGCAGAGAGCGTGGCTTCAGAATTATTTGTCATCAATGCAAATGTGAGGTCATTTGCAGACAGTGGCTAATCAGATCAGTTGGGGTGGCTTCAAAAGAATTTGTCATCAATACGAAAGTGAGGTCGCGTGACGTCGTCTGGGTTGATGAAGACTGAGATGGACTTCCCAGGATTCTCCGTGACCAGCTGCTGGAGTTTCTTCGCAAGACGGTCGTCTGGTTGCTGATCGGCTCCAGTTTCTAACAGGGGAGACAGGTTTGAGCTTCCTCCACGCCACTGGAGCTCCAACGTGAGTCGCGACGCAGCTTTTGCGTGCTCTATTGCGCTTCGCAAGTGTTCTGCTGGGTCAGAGCGAATGGACGACAGCTTGCATGCATGCAGCATGGCCGTGTCGTCGCTAAGGTGCTCTAGCATGTTGCATTGCGGGATAAAGTAATTCGGGCAGGTCTTATTCACCAAGCAATGCTGCAAGTCGTCGATCAACCCGAGCAAAAAGTGTGCGGCGTAATCTTCCTGCGCCAAGTACGTATGCGGCAAGCGGTCGCAGGCCCAAAGCATGAGCGAGCGCAGATGATATGGGCTGATGGCTTTGGGTCGAGAGAGAAGCTTAATAATCAGAGCTTTACAAGCCTGGTATGCCTGCATGAGACTGGAAGAGATGCACTTCTTCAGCTGCACCTCGCTGCGCGCAAACGACAAGCGCCATTCGTTTTCCTTCTGGCCTGTAGAAGAGCAGGCAGGCAGCAAATAAAACCCGCTAATCACTTCCTCCTCCGTGATTTTCCCGTCCCAAAAATGGTTCTCCATTAGCCAGCTTTGGGCCACCGCCGGCCAGCCTTTGAACGACACTACTGGAACCACATCGTACAGCATACGACTGCCTCCGACACCCAAAATGATGGAGATGACGGTTGCGTTGCGCTCGACCTTCTCGACCCGCGGGACGCCACGCTGAGGCTTCTTCTGAATCTCCGCCAGAACCATACTAATGGATTCGTAGAACCAGTCGGCCACCAGCGTGGGCGAGAAAAAGTAATTGGTGGTGCCGTTAACATGCTCTACAACCGTGCAACAGTCCTTCCACTTGTTGATGGTTCCCTCGTCAAACAGACGCAGGCTGAGCCAGGAGTGGCAGAGTGCCGAGTGACGCATGTCTAGCGTGACCGGCTGGTTTCGGTCGTGGAGTTTGAGCGCGGGAACCAGTAACGTGAAGTCCATGTCGTAATCGGCTCCCCGCGCATATACCGTCAACTCGTCCAGATCCATGTCAACCACACCTTCCCGGACCCCACCAGACAACAGCAGGTACTCGTTGGCAACCGGAAGCTTCTGGTCCAACTTCTGCACCATGCCTGAAAACAGAAAATTACATCGTTAGCAGTGTTGCGTGTAACTAGTTACTAGGGCTGAGCGATTTTTCAGATTTTATCGATTAATTCGAATTTAATGTTTTGCCACGATTTTATTTTTTAGAAATCAAGGAATCGCGATTTTGAATAGAAATATTACCAAACGTCAGAATTAGACACTTTGACAATATGCCAATGATAACAGTAACAAAAAAGAACGATCCAACCGCATGTCGGCGCACGTGATTAACCACTCATATCTCGAGGGGCCGTTCGCACAGAATGCGATTTTGTTTTGACAAAGATGCGATCGCTAAAACATGCAAGAAGAAGGGAGTGAACTTCTTTTAACTTGAGCGCCGCATTTTTAGAAAGCCGTTTCATGCATGAGACACTGCAAGAGATACGAGCGCAACAGTCAAATGTTTACATAGAAAAAACCTGTGGAAAAGCAGCGCAATCGAATAAAAAAAAAAAAATAAATAACTACTACTGTAAGTCTGATATTTCATGTTTATATCATGGTGACAGGCTGAAAGCTGCTGTTCGTTGTTTTCACAGAACATTTATTGTTAATAGTCTACTGGTGTTATACCTTCAGAAGTCAGAAAGAGCTTTATCATCAAGTATGTTTACACAGACAAGGAATTTGACTAGTGACAGGAGCTTCCAGTGCAGAAGAACGTATGGAAATAGTGCAAACTAGTGCAGCAGACATATGAATTACACAGTAGAGATGGAGTATAACACTAATATAAGAAAAACTGAAAATTAAATAATGCACTAGCTATATACAGAAGCAGAAATATAGATAAATGTAACCGTTTAAACGAACGTACAGATATATTTACAAGTGTGCAGTTTACAAATGTACAATTTTGTATCCTATGTATAAAGTCAGTCATTTTGAATTTGAATTATTGTTGAAGCATTTTCATTGTAGCCTATTTTTAAACATATAACATGTATACGTTTGTACAGGATGTAGTTGTAGTTCATGTATCTTTTCTGCAAAGATATTTAACAAGTGATTTGTTTAACATTTACATCATGTTGACAACATGTGTTGTGCACATGGAATAGAATTTTCTTTAACTAGAGGGTAAATAAAGAAAAAGTTATTTGAATCATGTTGTAGTTACATTTTTGAGTTGACTAAATCGTAAAAAAAAAAAAATTAATTAAAAAAAAAAAAATCGAGAATCGGTCAAACATTCTGAAAAAAATCTAGATTTTTATTTTTTTTGCTAAATCGCCCAGCCCTACTAGTTACTGTAATTTAATTACTTTTCCCTTGAAAAAGTAAAGTAAGGGATTGCTCTTATTTTCTCTGTAATTTAATTACAGTTACTTCTTACGTAATTGAACTTAATACTGTGTAGAACATTTATATACACAACACATTAGTGGATTTAACATCAAAATTTAAAGTCTAACCTTAAAATGCATGCGTTTTATCTACCCCTCTCACTTTAAATTCTTTGGTGAGTTAATAAGAATATTGGTAACACTTTAGTGTCCAACTCTCAATATTAACTAGTTGGTTATTAACATGGCTATTACAGGGATATTGGCTGTTTATTATTACACGTGTTAATGTCTTATTCTGAAGACCTTATTCCAAATCCTTAGTGCTACCCAATTCTTAAACTTAATTGTCAACAACTACTTTACTAAGTATTAATTTACAGTAATTAGGAGTATATTGAGGCAGAAGTATAATTAGTTTATAGATAATAGTTAGTTAATAGTGAGAATTGGACCCTATAATTTAAAGTGTGACCAGAATAATTTATGTATTATTTATTTGAAAGAATTAAAAGAATCATTTCATGTCTATCCTTGTATCATTACCTTATTGAGGTTGATATAGGATTTAGAAAGTAATGTAATTAATTAGTAATTAATGACTTTTTTTGGAGTAACTTATCCAACAGTGATCGTTATAGGGACACATGTTGTGTACTTGCACAAAGTAGATAAAACAGACTATTTCCTTGTAAAAGGGAATATACTTGACCCTCTCTGTGAAATCCAGGCTAAAGACTCAATCTAATTATGAGATAATAAGCATCAAAGTTTGATTTCAACCATTCATTTCACATGGTCTTAGTCAATATTAAAGATATCCATGTTACATTTTCACAGAATGTTCTTTACCTTATGACGTATGATTTTATGTAGAAAACAGTAAACCACCAAAAGATCACTTTAGCTGGGTTTTCAAAGCCAGGGTCACATATTTGACCAAAAATGCACTAAGATGTTATACAAGTCTTTCATGACAAAAGGAAAGTTACTCCAAGGGGGAAAGTTTTATTGGAATTCTATCCTAAAGAACGTTAACTGGAGACTGTTACTCTACAAATTTCGTATTTCAAAAAAGTAAGATAAATTCATTTAAAAATCTTGCATAAAATTTACCCAGACAATATTTTACTCTCGAAGTTTATAAGAAAACCTATCCATGTTTTTGTTGAACTTACAATTCTAAGTTGAAACAGCTTGTACATCACATAATGATCAAAATGCTCAAACATACGGTGGCCGAGAAGTGCAGAACAAATCACAATTCTGAAAACAAAATAACAAATTACAAACGCAAATGCAAGTCTAAAAAACAAAATAATTCAGAAAACACAACAACAATTCAGAAAACATTATAACAAGTCAGAAAACACAATGACAAATTCGAAAACAAAATAAGTCAGAAAACACGACAAATCCGAAAACAAATTAACAAGTCAGAAAACTCAAGGACAAATCAGACAAACCGGAAGAGGTAGGTATAGTTTGAGAAGGCGCCATTGGTTTGGGATTACTCACCGCTGACTGGACGAGACATCTGTCAATCAACGTATACAGGGAAGAACCAGCCGAAGAACAGCAGAGTCCTGGTAGAAAGTTCGGAGATGGTATTAAAGTAGCTCAGTTTAAATGTATTGTATGAATTGCCCTTACTATAGAATAGGCGATAATAGGCGGGTTCGATCCCGTAAGAAATATATCGTGATATAAATTTTGGCCATATCGTCCAGCCCTAATGGAGAGCTTATTTATTCAGCTTTCAGATGATGAATAAATCTCAATTTATAAAAATGGACCCTTATGACTGGTTTTGTGCTCCAGGGTCACACATGATTTTTTTAAGGGTTGAAACTCATGAAACCCACTTGGAAATATTGTACAATATCATTAAGTCTATTCATGACAATTAAGCACTCTCATTAATGTAGTTGTCAAAACCATATTATTTAAATGAGCATTTTATATTTATATAATTATATAAATAAGTATTTCTGTATCACTGCATTACTTTTGTAATTTATAACCTGTAATTTAGTGTCATTTTATTATTATTTATTAAAACCTAATGTTAATTTAATGTTAATTTGTTCTAATGTTAATTTTTTTTTTATTAAAAAGTAAAAGGATTATGATAATGTGTTAAATTGCCATGAAAATAGCATCACGATGGAAAAATATGGTTCTAAAATAGGCTGTTTTCTTCATGCGATATAGAATTACAGTACTTATTTTTATTCTGACGTGTTTTCATTAGATTCACCCAAAGAGACTGTGTGTCCGTCATCACAGGGTTTGTGTTTATGTGTATTTTACAAGTCCTGATATGCAATTTGTGAGAGTAAAGTTCCTTTGTGAAAACACTAGTTTCTGAAAAGTTTGAAATTTGATGAAAACCTAGACTTCTCACACTTGGTATTTTCTCTACATGCAGTTTAAAATGCAGATTTATTATAGCTGATCAATGTTTTGCAAGAGAATAGGGAGGTGAATTAAATTTGCAAAGCGTCATTTTTGCACCTGCATAACATGACAAAATGACATTGCAAAATAATTAATTTTCAAGTATGTTTAATGAAATGTAATTAATGCGAACATCTTAAGCATAGTGAATAATTTTCTTCAAATGGATGCACTTCGGTGTCATGAGCGTTGCCACAAAAACAAACAATTTCCATGTTGTAACGTTGTTATTTCACAATTTCGGTAATTTTGGCGAGAGGTGAGCGCAACATTAGAGAGAATGAAGGGCATTGCTTCACAGAACAAAATTTCATAATAAAGCAATTGACAAAAAGGTTAATCTATAACCACAAGAGCAAGAACAAATGCAATAGAGTCTATAAAACGATTCCTACACAAACACAAGAACATTCCAGACAAGACATTGAGAGAAACAGCCAACTGACTCCTGAAGAAAACAATCCCCAGTCACACCTGAGCTCAAGCTCATGATTAAGTGTACATGTGCCAGCCAGTGACTCATGGGTATTAAAATCTCCCGTCAGCAGCAGAAGAACCTCCAGAGACGCTCAGAAAAACCAGTGTGTGTGTGTGTGTGTGTGTGTGTGTGTGTGTTTGGGCCCTGAAGATCTGTCACACTCCTCCAGAGGCCACAGCGAGTTCAACATTCAGAAATACACCTTCAGGTCCACAATATCTATCATAACAAGAGCACAGTAAACTCAAGACATATAGGCTAGAACGCAGAGGTCCCCAGCTAAAAATATTGATTTTGATAATTTTTTGCTGTTGAAAGTAGTACATGAATGAAGAAGAAAAGGCAAAACATTAAATATCATGGATGTATTTCCACTCAGTAATCCACTATTTTGTAGAAGGGGATCAAAATGACAATTTGAAAATGTGTATAATTTAACAATTTGCACTGAGATCACTATATACACACAGGATTGAACCATATAAATGAGGATAGCAAAAGAAAAGTTTAGGAACCAGGATGTGAAAGTATATTGAGAGTACTGTTAATACTTCTCAAGTTACAGTCATGCAAACTTTGGAAAAATAATATTTGTGGCACTCGGATAGGTGTGTTATATGCAATCATTTTGACAGAGGGAAACAATGTATATTTCTATTTTCAAAATTATTTGTTCTTCAGACATTCCTTTTTTAAAGAAACAAGCATCAGCTGTATGCAAAGTGACGCATATTTGGTTTTTGACCACTGAAAATGTGTACAATTTAACAATTTACTCCTGGAGACATTGGGATACCAATATCTCTGCTGAATTAGGGCATTAAAAATGAAGATAGCAAAAGAAAAGTGTGTTAAGAACCAAAATCGGTAACACTTTACAAAAAGGTTCATTAGTTAACATGAGCTAAGAATGAACAATACTTCTACAACATTAATGTTAATTTTAGCATTTACTAATGCATTATTCAAAATCACAAGTTGTGTTTGTTAACATTAGTTAAGGTCATATGATGCAATTTCAAGTTTTCCTTTCTCTTTGGAGTGTTACAAGCTCTTGGTGCATAAAGAAGATCTGTAAAGTTGCAAAGACTAAAGTCTCAAATCCAAAGAGATATTCTTTATAAAAGTTAAGAGTCAGCCACACCTACCTAAAACGCCTCGTTCTAACACGCCCCCACATATCTACGTCACTATGTGGGAAGATTTGCATAACACCGCCCAAATGTTCACGCAAAGAAAGAAGGCGTAACTTTTATTCTCGCTGTAGTATTGTTTCCACCGCCGCCGCATGTTGTGAAGGCGCTGTGTGTTTCGTTGTGAAAGCGAAGCTACTTTGTTTGGTCTTCCAAAAGAGGATGATATCTGCTTCGTCATGCCTGGAGCTGATCCGTCTTGTCTTTTTCTTGCAGGACCCTGTACATTATAGTACTAAATTAGTTTTAATCATTAAATCACCACCACAGCTTCCTGTCTCCATCGGCAACACGCACGATTTGTGTCGATTGGTATCGGAGAGTGCAAGTGAAGATTGCAAGTGACTTCATAATTTAGTTTCTTTTTTCTTGTCTTCACCACCTGGCTAGTGTTGTAAAATGTTGAGAGATTCAAACAAAAAGAATAAATAAATAGAACAAAATAAAATAAAAATAAAGACTGCAAGTGACGTCACTAGTGGAAGTGCAAGTGTCTGAGAGTGCAAGCACCAGGCTGCTGCCAGACCCTTCTCAAATATTCAGATGTGTCCAGCACATTTTATGGAGGACTGTTTCCTGATCCTGGGAGAGTAGACTACAATGCCGGCTGTTCTGACTCACAGACTGTAAGTAAGTTTTTTATATTTATAGAATTTGCCACTGACGATTCAAACGCGAGTTTTGAGCAGTGTAGAGTAGCACTTGTTGTTTGTCATTTCTCCGATCACAAATGCAGACATGGTTTTTTGTTTATGCAGCGCGATGCAACACAACGTGTAAAAAGACAGAATAAGTCATTATAATCAGTAATTATGTCTCCACTGGATGCAACAAATGCCTCGTTTATAATGGGTTTTAATGTTTTTGTCGCGTCGCTCCGGCCGGACACGGCATCATCACAGTATGGTGAGGGGCGTAACATTTCCGTCACACGCTTGAGGGATTCAGCCAATCACAACGCACTGGATAGCTGGCCAATCACCGCACACCTCGCTTTTCTCAGACCGATGAGCTTTGTAAAAATTGACGTGTTTCAGAAAGGCGGGGCATAGAGGAGAAACAATAATGTACAGTATGTGGAAAATAATGTGTTTTTGAACCTTAAACCGCATAAACACATTTCATTACCCCAAATACATAAAATAATGTTCTTTTTAGCAGCATCATATGACCCATTTACAGTTGCACTGTGAACTAACAATGAACAAGGATTAATAAATACAGTAATAAATGTGTTGATCATTGTTTGATCGTGTTAGTTTATCACTTAACTCATGTTAACAAATGACACCTTGTTGTAAAGTGTTACCCCAAAATCTGAAAGCATATCTTTAATACTTCTTGAGCAACAGGCATGCAAACTTTGGGGGAAAACACTCTAAAGAGAAAAATGCTTTTTCACCCATTTTTCAATGGTCACCATTGGCATATAATATAACAAGTATTGCTAAAGTCAACAGATTACGATGCAATGATGCTGCCATCTTTCTAAAGTCATTATTCACCCTGTAAGTTGGCTCTGACTCTCAGGTGAAAATTGACCTTTTGGCCCCGCTCTACAAAATAGTGGATTACTCAGAAAATATTCATCTATAACATTTAATATTCTGGTTTTCATCACTATTTATGCGTGTCTTTCTTCCGAAGAAATACTAACAGATCCAAAAGTTTTAGCAGAGGAAGTTTCTGAAATTCGCTTGATTTGACACGGAATGATCCAACAGCGATTGCAACCAATTTTACTTTCCTAACGTGACTTAAAGAAGTGAACACTGGCAGTTATGATTTCATCTTGTCCTCAGATTGTTCTCCAGCACAGATGAGTGTGTGAGTGCATGGCTGAGTAAACACGCGTGAGACTGAGACAGCATCACCCTGAGGCTGAACTCATGCATCTGAACAGATCTCTGCTGCTTCACAGTGCAGCACTTCTGTTCAGCGTCTCTGAGAATTCAACTCTTTTACAAATAAATGCAGCTTTTATGTTCTATTTTTATGCAGTGATGCTCTTTGTACTGGTGCCACTTATTCCTGCTGGTCTGGCTGAACATTGCATTTTTATTCTAATTCACAACCATTTCCACTCCAAAACATATTTAGACCTAAATGTAAGATTTGTGTATATGAATTAGGGTTGCAAAGGGGTGGAAAATTTCCAGGAAATTTCCGGAAATGTTCCAAAAATCCCTGGAATATTCAAAAAATAAAATCCTGGAAAGTTTCCAAAATTTACTGGAAATGTTCCACCTTTTTGCAACCCTAATATGAATTGCATACAACATTTTCATGCATTTGAATTGCAGAGTTTTAACAAACAAACAAACTATTCAAATTAATGTGATGCATATTTTTCATGTACGTCAGTGAAACATGTCAGATGTAGGCCTAAAGATTTTTTGTATACAATCAGAGAATTTAGTTTTATTTGCATGCTTTGGATTTGTTTTTTTCATTTATATTGAATAAATAAATGTATTTATTAATTTATTTATTGCAAGTTTCCAAATTTGCTTATTTTATTCACATTTGGCAGTTTATTTAATTATTTATTTGCAGGTTTTTTATTTTATTTCTTATTTTAGTTTTCACATTTGCTTTTCCTCGTGCTGTCATTGCCTTGTTTCTCCTTCTAATAATTAAAACCAAAGCAATGAAAATTATGTCATTATTTACTCAGCTACATGTCATTTAAGGTGAAATTTTTCAGTGAATAACAGTTTAAAAGGTTTAATTTCATGCCTTCAAAAGTGCTTTTTTTCTCTTTCTGGAGCTTAAAGGGATAGTTCACCCAAAA